TATAAAGTATGACTGTGAAAATAAAATAAATGAGCCCATCCCATGTCTGAATTCCTTCATATGAGCTGCCAATTGGTTTTCTAATCCTCTCCCTCAATATCTGCTGTTAATTTGTTCTCTGTTTCAAGAACTCGAGGACTGTCAGCAAAATACATGATGCATTACAAAACTTATAATTGGAAATAAAAACATCTGACGCTTTTCTGACAGGGTAGACATAAAGCCCCACAGTGCTGATCAGAATGCGAAAGTGGAGCCACCTCCTAGCTATTTGCATGCAAACACAATTATACACACTGCAGACAGTGGAATAGACACTTAACTCCCACTTGGAAAAATGCTGAGAAAATTGCCTCGAAATGAATGAATGAACTAAACGTGTTTACGATAGGAAATGAGGGGAAACGAGCAGGGGGAAGAATCCTGCATGCACTGCCTTTGAAAACGCAACTCCTCAGCCTTTCTCTGCCTTTTGCAGCCATTTCAGTAAGGCGCTGCCTGTGCCCGCTGTCATTTTCCTGCTGCAGAAGTTAAGACACTTCCTGCAAGGTTACTGCACCTATTACACCTGGGTCCACTAGGACGCGAAGAAAAGGTGCTCTTTGTTCCTGACCTCTTGGTCAGCCTGGAGATCAGATTCCCGGCCACCAGAAAGCCCACTCCTATTCACTGAACGCCATGGGACAGCGGCTCCGAGTTTCTCTGTGCAGGAGAAACAAGCGCAGGCGAGGAACAGTACAATTATTCTCCCGTCCTGCTACCTCTGTGCTTTTTCACTTTTTGCAGCCGAGCTGCTCATCAATTAGTACATGGATTCTTTTTCTCCATAGCATCTTCGCATCAAAAGAGCAACTGAATCATAGCAAAGCTGAGGCTGGTTGGTCATTTTTAACTGCCAAGTCTGGGAGTAAGTTTACTGAAACCTGCTTGTCATTTTGCCTTGGCCATGCATTCAGTAACCAGAAATACAAATGACTTCCAAATTCCACCTCCCCTCCACCCTGGCCAGCCAAGTCGTTACCACGGTAGCCAAGGCTTGACAGATTTGATTTTTGTCTCCTCTCTCTTGCCATCTTCAGGCATCCCAGAGCTTCGTGCATATCAGAAAGGAGAGCTTGAAAGCCACTATGGAGAAGATGGGTGCCAGGGACTAGACCCCTGAGCTCTCAGGCTGACCGGACAATGAGGACACAAGACCCAAAGATGGAGAGGAGAGAATCGCAGGAGGTAAGCAACTCTGGGAAAGAACTGGTTACAGAAGATGCCTGCTCCTTGGAAGATTTCCTCAAAGTGCTTGGGAGGAGGGGGTACAGGAACCACAGTAGCAACCCCCAGAAGAGGTATCCCTGAACCCCTCCCCCCTCACTTCCTGTTTCAGCAAGGTTCCGGTTGACTCCCCTTGAGTTAGAACATGGAGCTGCCCTCAACCCCATCAGACCACACCCCAATCCTCTTCCTGGGGGAGGGGCCTACTCTGTCCCCTAGCAGGAGCCGGCTGCACAGGCACCCAGGGAACACCCAGCCCTAGGTGTTGTGAGGCATTTCCTCCAGAAGAATTGCTCTAGGAAACAGTCCTCCCTAACCCTTATGTAGCTTGCAGCTGTGATACCCTTATAAAACACGAATACACACCGACAGCTCTTCTCTGGCGCCAAACTCAATCATTTACTTATTTATTTACTTATTGGTGGAAGCTAAACCCAGGGCCTTCCCATGTAAGCCGGTGTTCTGCTACAGTTTTTTTTTTTTTTTTTTTTTTTTTAACATCTATGACAAGGTGAAAATGGTTAGTATCAAGGTTCTTAGTTTTCTGCTTTTTAGTTAAAAATCACTGTCAATATTAACAAGTCAGCAGTTAATATTTGGCTTGTAATATTCATTGGCAAGGCACAGAAATCAAATGTGATTCAGGTTTGAATGTCTACTGGGTTATGTGGCAAGTATTCTCCTCCAGAGGCATCCCAGGGCCTGAAGAAATGTCAATCCAGAAGGGAGAATACAAGTAGCTATGGAGGATGTCATCTGAACTTCACTTCTACTCAAGTTCTGAATAATGAGAGGTCACACACGACACTGCACACCAGTACGTGTTTCCCTGGAAGATTTTAACCATGGCGAGTTAAGTGGGTGCCATGTGAAAGACCCCAGGCTGGACCTCACACCCATTTATACACAAACAGAGAAGTTCCGGGACTGGCACACTGTACTCAGCAGCCTGCACAAGCCAAACCCAGACTCCATCACCCAAATCTCCTACAAGGGGACTGAAGCATGAGAGCTTCTAGCAGTGGCTGTGCACCTGCCTCAGATGCCTCCTCGTGCTCAGAGGTGACGAACCTCAGCGGGATGCTTGTACCACGGGAAGCTCGGAAAGGTTTGCCATCACTGCTCTGGCTGGTTAGCACCACAGCTGGAGTAACTCTCTTCATAAACCCCATGAGAACAAGGCAATGCCATTGAGATGAGAAAACAGAGGCATGGCAATGTTAAGAAACCTGCCCAAGGTCCTAGGGCTGAGTGAGTGGTAGAAGCAGGGAACAGCATTCATGCTGTGGAGAGGCTCTAATCCAGACATCACTGTGGGCCTGGGGCTTTTCATTTAATAAAGTATCTTACAACAAGATCCAAACAACCTGTATCTGCAAAAACCAGGACTAAACGGAAATCCCCCTTCCATCCATCTCTGTACTGTCTAGGAAAACACTGAGTACCAGAACCCCATGGACAGGAAATCCCAGTTAGTGACTTCCTTTCTTGTAAAGGAGGGCCCAGCAGAGAACAATTCAAGTCCTGCAGAAATCCCCAAACACATGATGTCTAAGAGCAACTTCAGGGTAGTGTTTTAGGAGACTAGTTAATGCTGCCTACTTTCTTGACTTTACTGTCCTTTCCAATATTAAAATCTTGAAGAAATCTAAGTGACATCTGTCTGGTTATGATACAAACTTTACAGTCTATACTCCCGCCATAAGTGGGTCACGCCTCTCACAGCACATACCTAAATTTGCTCTGGCTCACGTTTATTCCATGAGATGCTGCACGACGGCTCAGGACCCCAAGTCATCCCCTCCTTCACAGCGATGGGTGGGAATCCGGCTGGGCTGAGCCCTGTCCCCAACAGATTCACATGGGCTCAGATGACACAGTACACGGTTTGTGTCTCCATCTCAGCAGCTATGAACCCCAGCTCTCTGGAAGTCTTGCTTGTTCAGGAATAGCCTAAGATGCCCTGTGCCTTTTGAAGATTGCTCAAAAACATCTTTGATTACTGAAAGACTGGCCTTGGCCCGCAAGGTGGGCTTCTGGGACAAGCAGAGCTCATCCCTGGATTGTGCGCCTACTGTAAGGTACTGGACTGAGAAGCTGGACATGCTCTGTGTCCCCTGCCCAGAAACACTAACAGCAGCATCCTGCAATGCCCTGAGTCCAGCTTCCCGACTGCAATCTGACAGGACTAATTTCTGCTGTTTGTTCTCTTGTCCTTTATATACAAAACAAATAAATAGCATTAATAAGGCTGGATCTAAAGTGGCTCTACAGACACTGAGTGCTAATGATGACCCCCACTCCTCAGCCGTACCGTACTCCCCGAGTCTGACTTGTTAGGGTCAAACCAAGATGCTACCACTGACTCTGGTGTTTCCTGAGCAGAGCCCTAGCCTTCCTGTGCCTGTTCGTATCAGCCAGTGAGAATCCTAATGGTGCCCGTCTCTAGAGGATTTGGGGAATAAATGAGATAATAGACGTAATGAATTTAGAGAAAGATATGGCTCATGGTCTTTCCAAGTGAGCTCACAATCATTATCAACTTGATTTGGAACAGTAATGTATTCCCAATACTTAGTATACCCACTGTTCTATTATCCTGGATTCACTCAGTGAGGCTAGAAAAAAATTACCTGCAGTGTCTTAGTTTTATATTTAAGAGAAGACAAAGGGAACTGCTGGGCGTAGAGGCCAACCAGACAGAATTCACTGTGGCTGCCTCTTTTGCCCTACCACAGCTCCAAATAAGGCAGGGGAAGCTTAGCTCCTCCCAGTATGGACACAGAGCCTCAGGGAGGACCCTAGAATCCCCGGATGTTAGTCAGCATCTGTGTCAATGCTCTTATTTTGAAGGAGTGAGCACTGTGTCTGGGGCTCAGCAACTCATCCAAGTTCACCTAAGTACTTAGTGGCAGAGGCAAGAGCAGGAAAATGAGTTATTCTGAAGCAAATGGCCAGGCAGGCATATAAGCCTTCGAAAATGTCTCCTATCTCTAGCCCTGTGGCACCCCAAAAGCAGGCTGTCCCCACCTTCACCATCTCAAAGCTGCAGAAAAGTTCAGCTTCCTTAGTCAAGGTTCTTCTTCCAACCCAAAATTGGCCCCACAGGGAGCCCAGATCCCAAGAGCTTCCCACCTGGCCCCACAGGCACTGCGCCTGTGTCCAGAGTTCTAGAGCGAAGTTCTGGGAATTTCAACTGTGCACTAGCCTCGCCTGGGGGCTTCAGAAAACACAGACTGCTCTGCTGGGCTTCGTCTAAGTGGGAAGGATTGGAGTCTCCGCCATAGGCTTTAAATTCTGTCCCTACAGAGCTGGTCACTGATACGTAGAGAGATTTGAGAAATTCCAATCTCAGTAAGGTATCGTATGACAGCATCCTGTGTAAAATCAGAAGGCCGTGGGCCACCCAAAGCTGATGGAATGTTAAGTGACCTTCCTGAAACATCTCTGGTATGGAGAGACCTACGTAGCCCCAATCCCAGGTATTCAGGTCCATCTCCCAAAGCCCTGCCCCAGGGGATCTTAAGTACATAAATCTGTTTCTCAATGGAAACAGATGCTGTATTTTAAAGCACTAGCAGAGTATGTGTTCTGCTGGAAATCCAGCAAGAAGCTTTCTTCTTCTTCATCTTCTCCATCCAGATCACTTTCATTTAAAGCACCGAAGACCAAGGCCCACTTTCTGGGGGCCCAGTTACAAAAGAGAAGGGAAAACTATTCGAAGGGACACTTACCAAGGTGCACCGTATATCCTGAATCCCTTCACCGTGACCTCCGAATCTTGCAAGTAAATACTGTTTGTCAGGAGGGACTGAACATTGTCAAAGTCCTCCGGTTTCAATTTGGACACAGAGGGGAAACGGTAGTAGTCCTGTTTAACAAGGTCTGCCATGAATTCCTTATCAAATGTCAGTTCATGATTCCCAGCAATCACTATTTTATATTCATATGGCAGGTTTCCTGAAATAAGAAAAAAGAGCAGCAATTAGCACGTTTGTTTCCCATCATGAAGCACAGGAACCGAGACTGTGATTAGCAGCCGGCTCACCCCAATGAAACAGCTCATACACTGCACTGCATTTCCATGGAGCCACAGTGCATGGGTCCTTCACACTGACAAAAGATGAAAATGGGCAGAAGATGGGAAACTCCCGAGAAGCCAAAGGTACTGAGGCTCCGCCTCGCTCTTGTGGGCTGCACAGACTCACTGTACTGAATCCACACAATAACAAACCCACACTTTGTAATTATCTGGAAGAAGCACTTTAATTATGATCCTTCCAAGGTGACCTGGATTCAATTTGGTCCTCAAAAATTGAGCAACAGATTATTTTTAATAACTAAGAAATGCTGTATTTTCTGGAGAACTTTCCCAATGCCCAAGATAGGGCACAGTCAAGCATTCTACAATTTGTAGGTAGGAAGTGGAGCACACTATGCGATTTCCTATTGTAAGTCTAATTTTAAGTTTACCTTTCAGCTCCTGAATACAAGATCGTGATTAAAAGCCCCTGATTGGAAGGCTCCACTTTCGTCCCTTTGGGAAGGGGGAAGAAACTGTAAAGCTTAACCTCCTTTTAATATTTATGGTATGGAAATGTGAGTTCTCAGTGTGTGCTTTGTATGTAAAAGTTTCCCGATCGAAATGAGATAATTCTGGGAAGAAGAATGAAAGCTATAAAGAAAAACCCAAACACCAGACTTCTGCATAGATTTATAATGTTTGAATAAAGTATGGATCATACATATTAATAACTCACACAATGCTATAAGATCCAAAATCCAAAGGGAGATGGTACCAGGCAGCTCTCCCCTTCCTGCGATTAATGTCCCTTTGTGTACTCTGTCAGACCCCATCCCTCAAGCCTCACTGTTGGGCCACTGCTCATTCTATTTTACTTTATTTTATTTTATTTTGGAGGAAGACCAGGTGGAACAATGACACCTACAATTCCAGCTTCCTGAGTCTCCTGGATTCAATGCAAAATTAATGTTTTCAGCTATTCCAGGAAGAATTACTGTTACCCAGCAGGAAATTAGATCCACTTGTTGTAAGAATTGGTTCTTACAGTGAGATAGAGTCAATGATTTAATTAAGGAGGTTTAGCAGGAAGGAAAATTTAGGGGGAGGTGGGGAGGGGCAGTTTCTCTCCCTGGCCCATTTGGATTTCAGCAACAGTGCACCTCAAGATTGCATAGCGAGGTCTTCAATACCACAGTAGTTTTTGAGACTTAGGTTGTGTTTTGCAGTGTTACTGTTTTTCCTTGGCTTTTAATTTTTCGGCTTCTAACGGTAATGGAATTGCCCAGAGAGCATGTGAGTTAATGGGGAGGCTTCAGAAAGAGATGAAAGTATTCCAATAAAAAAATAACAGTGCAGAGAGATCAAACCAGAAACATGGAGGCCAAGAAGCAGTGAGTCTCCTGGGTTACTAGTGCACACTTCCACATGACAAGGCCCTAGCCACAGTGATTGGCAAGGCTGTGCCAAGAAGTCCACCTCAGATAGGAAGCCTCTCAGAAATCTGCCTGCTGCGAGGTCCTTAGACAAGATGGTGGTGATGTTGTACTTAAGGCAGGGGGAGATGGATTAACAAGACCACACATTCCTAGCTTTGCACATGCTGGAAATCCAAGAGGCCCTGGAACCCTAAGATCTTGGCTCTGCAACCCCACCAGCTTGATGATGCACTCTGGATTCACTTGTGGCCCCCCAGGGGTCCCCCAGGGGAGGCAGATCAGTTTCCCAGGACAGGCAGGCATTGCTCCTAGCCAGGTCTGGCTGCGTGGTCCCCAAGCACGCTGTTGTCACCAGGTCACACCATCCTTCCTGGTGAGGATGTCCCTGCAAACCCAGCTACACACCTGCTGCTGTGGAAGGGTACACCCCTCAGATATCCTCATTCTATAGCTCTGGTCACCAACAGGGGACACCAGGACACAGGGCAAAGGAAGAAGTACCTTTTCTCTTTCGGACTAGTTTAAGAAAAAGAAGGGAGGCCAGGGACGTGCTGCAGAATAAGTCTTCCCAGGTGCACAGCATCCTTGGTGTCTTCTAAGCCACATTTTAGAGACATGGCACAGAGAAGCAGCCACCAGCACAGCCACCACCACAGAAGGGTGACAGTATTTACACGTGGCCACTGAACTCATCTGGTCCTGAGAATCCACAGCAGCCCCCGACCCCCACCCTCTGCTACCTGTGCTGTGAGACTGTTTGACATATTTTCTTTTTCGCTGAGCTGACCTTTCATCTATAATCTGCCAACCTTTATGTTTTATATGAAAAGTCTAAGCAAGGCAGCTGACAAATCTCCTGTTCCTTGATGGCATTTTCATTTTTTTCCTCGCCTAGATTAATTTGGAAGGCACTGCCATCAAGCTTCTGACTTCTTGCCATGCTAGCAGCATCACTTTCAAATTGTCGGACAGAGAGGTGCTCTCACCTTTACCCATTTTATTCAGGTCCAGCCACTGAAGCCAACCTGCTTGAGAAACCCACAACCACAGACAGTCATTGCAACGTGGAAAATCGTCACACTCCAAAGGAGCCCAGCTCTACCAACTAACCAGCCCCCTCTCTCCCAAAGGTCCATGCCTGCTCTATTAATGAGGGGTGAGATCCTTGAGGGTGAAATGAAAATAAACACCCACCAAAACTTCAGGTGACTATGTGCATTTTAAAAAAGCATATTTGGAAAAATCCAGTATTATGGTGTCAGTAATGCTATATAGTTTTGCTTTTTTCTTTTGACATATAAAGTAAGAATTACTTGAATAAAGCTATTATTAATTAAAAGCACAAGTGATTCATGGGTACAGAAGCAAGAGAACGGATGAAATGTGGGAAACTCCGGGCCAGGGGAGCTCTCTGGACTCAAAGCGGCAGATGCCAAGAGAGGCCACACTCCTATGCTGGTCTGTGTGCACTGTGCTCTTGTCCCATAAACAGGTATCAGGAAATCAAACTCAAGAGGTCCTCCCGGCTGTCCAGCAGTACTGGCCACACCTCTGCCCAAAGCAGCCACGGAAATTCTCTCTGGGGACCATTTCAGTCCTGGGCCCCGCTGACTCCCTCCTCTGGGCACAATAAGTCTGCAAACACATGGGGAAAGATGGGGCAGGGTCACTTCCCCTGCCCAGTTCTCCTGGGTTTGCATCTTCTCATCTTCACGACAGCTCTGTCTTCCCACCTCATTCTTCCTCTTCCACAATCTCCCTTTACTCTTTGAACCACTCTGTCCAGCGGACTCTCCTGCCTCTGCCGAGCTTGTGTCCCTTGCTCCCAAGGTGACAGGGCCAAGCAAGCCGCAGGGGCACACAAGCCTGGCACACTGGGCAGTAGGCCCTGACCTTGCTGCTGCTTTGAGATGCCTCCTTATCTCACGTGGAAACTTCCTGGAGAGCAGGGTCCGGGAGTTGATGGTGGTGGGCTGAAGTCAGCTCACAGAAGTCTTACGGTGAGGCTCCATCAAGTTTTGCATTAAAAAAACAAAAACCTGAACTAACATTGAGAAATCAAAAGCTATCCAGTAAAATGATGGGTTTCCAGCCTCTTGGAAAATCAATCTGAGACTGCTGGCTTCTGGGTTCCAGCAGACGTTCACATTCCTGGCCCGGTCCTGAAGGGCCACTCCACCAGTGGATGTAACAGCCCAGAGGCCAGGGCTCACTCAGCCCTTGTCCTGTGCTATCCTATTCTCTCAGGAAAGCCTGCCTGGAATGGGGCTCATAACCTCCTCCTGGCCACAGCCAAGGCTTCCTCTGGATTTTACCTCTGCAGATCCTGCCACTGGACCCCACTCCCTGAACACATCAGTTCTCTGGATCCCTGGCTCTCAGATCTCCAGTCTCTCCCTCCCCAACCCCATATTCCCTTTCCACTCTCCTCCTCCCCTTTCATAGACACTCCTGACCATCCTCTTTCTGCACGCGCCTCATTTCTGTTCTTTGTGATTCAAAGTTCAAATGATTGCAACATGAGTGGCCCAGGGCCTCAGCCGGCTCTGCTGTACCACTGCTTCCCAAAGTGCATCGAGAAACAGAGAGGAGGACCGCATCTCCCTGGTGGGTTGCACGAGGGTGGCAAGGGTCTGAGCTTCCGATTGGTGCCACTGGAGCCTGCTCACTGATGCTGTTCCATGACCTGGCTTGCTCTTCACATGCGACTTGTCTCCCCCAGACACAAAGGCATGGAGAACGACTTGTGGTTCTTTGACTCAAAGCACCGGGTTCAACCAGAGACTCTGGAGTACGTGATGGACTGAAGGATCCTCTGCAGAATTCACCACAAGCTTCCCACAAGCCCAGGAATGAGGCTCGCTGCCTTGGTCTATGACAAAGTGCAAGCCACCATTACATCTTCCAGCATGCTCTGGCTCCTGACACCCCATCCAGCCAACGAACCTTCAATGATGGAGGTTGTAAAACTACAGTTTCCTTGACTTTACCCAGGATAAAGTAACAATCCTACCTCTAAGATTCAGAGCAAATCAAAGTAGGGAGCTAGATTGTTCTCAAAAGGGAAAGGGTTGGAGGAAAAAGGAAGGGAGAGTGGATTTAAAAAAAAGAAGAACTAGGATGCATGATGTACTTGTACCCATTCCCCACTAGCACTGTGAATATTGACTCAACACGTGTACTAAAAAATAATGACAACTAAACACATGTAAACACTGCTTTGGCCAATCAAGATGCCCTAGCTAGTGTATTCTTCTCCTCCCTGCCAAAAAATCAATGTCCCTCCAAATTACAGGTTGTATAACTACAATCTGTTTCTCTGCTATAGGGATTACAGAAGGTATTTAGACCCACAATCAGTTTTCCACAGTCTGGGAAACCGCTGGCCATCTGCTGGAAGTCAGCTCTTCCTGTTGGAAGTCAGTCAGTTCTTCCTGGAGCTCTTCATCCTCTTGAAGAGGATTCTGGGAAATACGGCAACCAAAAGGCTCCTTGGGATG